TATTAAAGCAGCTCGTATATTAGCGTTATTACCTTTTTTAAATAATGAAAGTTAATCGTTGTGTAAATTGTGAAAAAAAGTAGTCAATTTATATACTTCTTCTTAAAAAAACAGGCAAAGAGATAGTAACTTGAATTTTTTTTTAAATTTCATCCATTGAAAATATCTTTTTGCCCACTCATATTATTTAGGGGTTCCAAGAAATGGATGACCCCTTATTGCATTTATCAAATAAATCATTTTTTTCGGTAGGCTTAGGAATAAGGAATAAGGAATAAGGAATAAGGAATAAGGAATAAGGAATAAGGAATAAGGAATAAGGAATAAGGAATAAGGAATAAGCAATAAGGAATAAGGAATAAGGAATAAGCAATAAGGAATAAGGAATAAGCAATAAGGAATAAGGAATAAGCAATAAGCAATAAGCAATAAGGAATAAGGAATAAGGAATAAGGAATAAGCAATAAGCAATAAGCAATATGCAATGAATTTTCCTGATAAAAAGATTTCTAATAGCTCTTGTTAGATTTTAAGACCTAGCAAGAGCTTTTTGCATTCTGATAATCATTCCTTGGTCATATGCAAAAAAAATATATAGAAATAATTTTGCTAAACACTATTCAATAACCCGTTAAAACCATCTTTATCTAAAACTGCTATTTGTGCAATCATCTTACGATTAATGGAAATTTTAGATGTATAGAGTTTGTTAATAAATCGACTATAAGAAAGCCCTTTTTGACGTACTGCAGCATTAATACGAGTAATCCATAATTTTCTAAAATCTCTTTTCCTTCTACTTCTATCTCTCTTAGATGAAACCAATGCTTTCATAACCTGTTGTTTTGCAGGTCTAAATAACCTTGAATGCGCACGACGAAATCCTGAGGCACATTCAAGAATACGATTACGGCGTTTTCTAGCTACGTATCCACGTTTAACTCTTGTCATTCTAAGTTTTTTATATAATAAAAATATTTATAACATAATATTATACTACTAAGAAAATTTTCCATATCCTCGTACAGGATACAATATCTCTTTATGAGAAATTATGTTATCTAAAAATATAGGTCTAATGTAGGGGAAAGGATCATAATGGCATTTGCTTCTGTAACCTTCCTTTGTATAAAGGCCTTAGTTCAGGTAACTCCTCAGAAAACAAGGGGGAATGCCTTGTGCTGAGAGCATTTATACATTACTTTGTTTCCATAAATTTTCTTATGACGGTAAGATTCTCTCTTTACACTGAAGCTAATTTTGTTCCTGATAGGAATTAAATAAGAGTGCAATTGAAAACCTGTACAAGATTCAATCTTTCGCTTTCTTATGTTGTATGCTAAGTACCTTATTTCTGACATAGATACTTAGAAAATATGAACAGTGTTTTATTACGAGAGTTCGCTGAGCAGCTAACCTTATGAATCCGTTATTGCAATGAACAACACATATTGTCTATTAATACTATATTTGTTCGTCTTTCTCGCTTCACGGATTGATGACCAGTCACTACCGTGGAGAAAGTGCATTCTATCTTGCACTAAGATGATTGGATTTACACCAAGGAAATTTATGAATTCCACCTATAAAAAAAATAAGTGGCAGATCCATACTCTAAAAATTCCTAGATTCTTCTGTCATATCGATTCTAGGTTTTTACTAGTTTAGATCTGAACAAATCACACATACACTCTAGTACATACTCCTCTTCTTTGAGGACAAGCTCGAAGGGCTGGAGACTTGGTTCTATTTTCTGCAGGTTGTCTGCTATGTCTAATAAGTTGTTGAATGGTAGGCATAAATTGTTTGAACAGAAATGTTCAGTTGAGATGAATCTTAACCACATTCTGTTTTGAACCAAAAAGAGAAAAATGATGTTAAGAAAGATTAGCTACTGAAAAATCTAAGGTAACTATAAGAGAACTATAGAGATTTTCTATCATTATTATAAAACATCTGGAGTAGAATCATTATCTGCTGCTACTAAATCTACAATTCCATATGCTTGGGCTTCTTTTGCAGACATAAAAACATCTCTTTCCATATCTTCAGAAATTACCCATGCTGGCTTCCCAGTACGCTGAACATAGACTCTTGTAATAGAATCTCGTAATTTCAAAACTTCTTCAGCTTCCATCATGCATTCACCTGCTTGCCCATCATAATAAGAACTAGCTGGTTGGTGAATCATTACTCTAGCATGAGGTAGGGCTAGACGTTTAGTAATTTCTCCTCCAGTTAAGATAAAAGAACCCATAGAAGCTGCTAGGCCCATACAGATAGTATGCACATCTGGTACTACAAATTGCATAGCATCATATACTGCAATTCCAGCCAAGACTGCTCCACCAGGAGAATTGATGTACATAAACATATCCTTACTTTCATCTTCTCCATTCAAATACATCATAATACCAATCAATTGATTAGCAATCTCATCATCTACATTCTGACCTAAAAAAAGTAATCTTTCACGATACAATCGATTATACACGTCTACCCAAACTGCCTCTTCTTCTCCAGGAAGACGAAAAGGGACCCTTGGAACACCAATAGGCATAATGTTAATTTAGTAATTAAATTGTATATACTCCCCTATATACACTATAGTACTATAGTGTCGTTAATTAGATGTTACATATTGCAATATGTTTTTTGTGTAAGATATAGAAATGTTTTTTCATTTAGAAAAAAACAAAAATTTTTTTTTCAAAAATTCCACAAACATTTGAACAAAAGCTTTTTGTCTACTTTCTATAGTATGTTTGTCTACTATACAGTATTTTTTTGTAAAAATATAGAATATTTTTTTGTAAAATTTTTTTAAGCAGTTTATGTACTTAAATAAATTAGAGTACGAAATGGATTTCTTTTCCTCTTCTTTGTTGTATTTTACACTAGAAATTTTTGAATTCAAACCATTTTCTATGTTGTGATGATAAACAAAAAATGTTACAATAAATACGGTTATATCAACAACAAGAGACCATAAAAAAATTGCGTTTAGAAAAAGATCACTATAGGGAAATAGTGCCTGGGATGTTGAAAATAAATAGCAAACGCAATAGGTCATCTTAGTGCAAGAGAGTCACAGAATGTCTAATTCTCTCTGAGAAAGAGGTGTTACCCATGGGTTTGCCTTGGTATCGTGTACATACAGTTGTTTTAAATGATCCCGGTCGTTTGATTGCTGTGCATATCATGCACACTGCTCTAGTTTCTGGATGGGCTGGTTCTATGGCTTTGTATGAACTAGCAGTTTTTGACCCTTCTGATCCTGTTCTTGATCCAATGTGGAGACAAGGCATGTTTGTAATTCCTTTCATCACTCGATTGGGAGTTACTAAATCATGGGGTGGCTGGAGTATCACTGGAGAAACCGTTAATGATGCTGGTCTATGGAGTTACGAAGGTGTAGCAGCTGTTCATATTGTTCTTTCTGGACTATTATTCCTAGCAGCAATTTGGCACTGGGTTTACTGGGATCTTGAACTATTCCGTGATGAGAGAACTGGCAAACCTTCCTTAGATTTACCTAAAATCTTTGGAATTCACCTTTTCTTATCTGGAGTACTTTGCTTTGCTTTTGGTGCGTTTCACGTAACTGGTTTATTTGGTCCTGGCATCTGGGTTTCTGATCCATATGGAATTAGTGGAAGTGTACAACCTGTAGCTCCAGCTTGGGGTGCAGAAGGATTCGATCCTTTTAACCCAGGTGGTATTGCGTCACACCATATTGCAGCAGGTATTTTAGGAATTCTAGCAGGATTATTCCACCTAAGTGTTCGTCCTCCTCAGCGTCTTTATAAAGGATTGCGTATGGGGAACATTGAAACCGTACTATCTAGCAGTATTGCAGCAGTTTTTTGGTCAGCTTTTGTAGTAGCTGGAACTATGTGGTATGGTAGTGCAGCAACTCCTATCGAACTATTTGGGCCTACTCGTTATCAATGGGATCAAAACTATTTCCAAGAAGAAATTGAAAGACGTGTTCGTGCTAGTCAAGCTGAAGGGTTAAGTCTATCTGAAGCTTGGTCTAAGATTCCTGAGAAACTAGCATTCTACGATTACATTGGAAATAACCCTGCTAAAGGAGGACTATTCCGTGCAGGTGCTATGGATAATGGAGACGGTATTGCAGTAGGCTGGTTAGGTCATGCTGTATTTACAGATAAAGAAGGTAATGAACTATTTGTTCGTCGTATGCCAACTTTCTTTGAAACCTTCCCTGTTGTTTTACTAGATAAAGACGGAGTAGTTCGTGCAGACGTTCCTTTCCGTAGAGCAGAATCTAAATATAGTATTGAACAAGTAGGTGTAACTGTACAATTTTACGGTGGAGAACTAGACGGTGTAAGTTTTAGTGATCCTACTACTGTGAAAAAATATGCAAGACGTGCACAATTAGGTGAAATTATTGAATTTGACCGTGCTACTCTTAAATCTGATGGGGTATTCCGTAGTAGCCCAAGAGGATGGTTCACATTTGGACATGCTAATTTAGCATTCTTATTCTACTTTGGCCATATCTGGCATGGTGCTAGAACTCTATTTAGAGACGTATTCTCTGGAATTGATCCTGATCTTGAAGCACAAGTAGAATTCGGTCTTTTCCAAAAACTTGGAGACCCAAGCACCAAGAGACAAGCTGTATAGATATAAATATCTGTACTCAGTTCTATTTATGTATCTTAGTATGTATCAATGAATCTATAAAAAGATTCAAAAAATCGATTAGTACGAAAGCTATTTTCACACATTTTACTACAAATCATATTTATGGAAGCCCTGGTTTACACTTTTCTGTTGGTCAGTACTCTAGGCATTATCTTCTTTGCAATCTTCTTCAGAGAGCCACCAAAGGTGCCTGTAAAAGGGAAGAAATAGGCCTATATTAGACTTAACCTTGTAATTTTTTTTGTATCCTATTTATCTATTTGTATAGTAATACAAGGATCATCTTATTCTTTTCAATATGAATTATAGGGTGGCCCTCCCCGTATTCCTGTGAAGTTTGGGAAAGGCCTAGAAAATTAATCTTCGTGTTCCTCAAATGGATCGCGAAGTTCTTTTGAAGGCTGTCCAAAAGCTGTATACAGGGCATAACCAGTAAAACTTACAAGCAGACAAGATATAAAGATAACTACCAAGGTTGCTGTTTCCATTTTCAGGTAATTCCTCAAGAATGAGAATGTTTGGTTTCCACTATGATAGTACACAAAGTCAACAAATCTCAACCAATGAGTAATAAGATTTATGGCAACACAGATCATTAAAGATTCTACCAAGGGCAGAAGAACCGCTGTTGGTGACATATTAAAGCCACTTAATTCCGAATATGGTAAAGTAGCTCCAGGATGGGGCACTACTGTACTTATGGGTGTATTTATCGGATTATTTGCTGTATTTTTGGTTATAATTCTAGAATTATACAATGCTTCTGTAGTTTTAGATGGTATCCCAGTAAGTTGGCAATAAGTACGGTAATGCTTCAATTTCTCACAAACTGATAATTCTCATTACAGTTTAAGGGAATTCTTTTCTGACGAGAAGACTAGGAAAATGAAGGGGGTATAATTACTCAAGAATTTTTCCTGGTCTTCTTATTCATATTAATTAAAGTAGAAACACGACAATATTCCCAAATGATACTAATTAGTACATAGGGAGAAAAAAGACTTTTCTCTTTTTCTTATGGAAGTTCAACTGCGTAATTATGTAAATGGAGAATGTCTGCATTATGGGTAAGGTATACGATTGGTTTGAAGAACGTTTGGAAATTCAGGCAATTGCTGATGACGTTACCGACAAATATGTTCCACCTCATGTCAATATTTTCTATTGCTTAGGAGGAATTACTTTTACCTGTTTTATCATTCAAGTAGCGACAGGCTTTGCTATGACCTTTTACTATCGTCCTACTGTAACCGAGGCTTTTGCTTCTGTTCAATACATTATGACCGAAGTTAACTTTGGTTGGTTAGTTCGATCAGTACACAGATGGTCTGCTAGTATGATGGTAATGACTATGATTTTACACATATTCCGTGTGTATTTAACTGGAGGCTTCAAAAAACCTCGTGAACTTACTTGGGTTACAGGAGTTCTTTTAGCAGTATTAACTGTTTCTTTTGGTGTAACTGGTTACTCTTTACCTTGGGATCAAGTTGGGTATTGGGCTGTAAAGATCGTTACAGGAGTACCTGACGCTATTCCGGTAATTGGAGCACCTTTAGTTGAATTACTGCGTGGAAGTGTAAGCGTAGGACAATCTACATTAACTCGTTTTTACAGCTTGCATACATTTGTATTACCACTTCTAACAGCTGTCGTTATGTTAATGCATTTCCTGATGATTAGGAAACAAGGTATTTCTGGTCCACTATAAACAAGTATATGGAGTTGCCATATATAATGTATTAAGAAAAGATTCTGATATTTTTTCTAGACATTACATTCGAGGGGCGCATTGCCATGAAGCAAGTATTTAATATACCTATATCATGGATTAGTTTGCTGTATCGTTCTGAACAGTTTACTTGTTTATAGTATCGACACAGTTTTTTTACATAAAAAGGAGTTTAGATTATGGGAGTCATCAAGAAACCTGATTTGACTGATCCTGTACTACGAGCAAAACTAGCGAAAGGTATGGGACATCACTACTATGGAGAACCAGCTTGGCCTAATGATTTATTATATATGTTCCCAGTATGTATTCTTGGAACAATTGCTTGCAATGTTGGACTAGCAGTTTTAGAACCTTCTATGATGGGAGAACCTGCTAATCCTTTTGCTACTCCTCTAGAAATTTTACCTGAATGGTATTTTTTCCCTGTATTCCAAATCCTACGTACAGTTCCTAATAAATTATTAGGAGTTTTGTTAATGGCTGCTGTGCCTGCAGGCCTTTTAACTGTTCCTTTCTTAGAAAATGTAAATAAATTTCAAAATCCATTCCGTCGTCCAGTAGCTAGCACTGTATTTCTTATTGGAACTGTTGTAGCTGTTTGGTTAGGTATTGGAGCAGCTTTACCTATTGATCAATCTCTAACCTTAGGACTTTTCTAAGGATTTTTTTTTGATTTTTTTTACAGACTGGTGATCAACACCTCAGTTTGTAAATTAGACTACACAAAAAAGAAAAAGACAACCATTTGTTGTAGCTGAAATATATTTCAGCTACAACAAATGGTTGTCTTTTTTATTTTTTGCAAGAAAGTTGTAATCCGAAACGTTCTTGCAAAACCATAACAACTTGTTCAACTGATTTTCTGCCAAAATTTTTAATCTTAAGAAGATCTTCTTGAGTATAAGATACTAAATCTGATAATGTGTGTATATTAGCTCTTTTTAAACAATTATATATTCTAGGAGATAATTCTAATTGATCAATAGATATATTAGTTGTATTCATGATATCTTCCATAGGTCTATCCAGTGATAATACTGTGTCAATAGTAGTATTTAATACATGACCTGATTGATCGGAAGTATGAATATTTTTATATACTACATTATGATCTATAGAATTCGAATTATTAGTTTTCAATACGTTTTTAGATGGAATGGGCGGTGTAATGGTATAAAATAAATTAAGTATACTATTATGAGCTTGATATAATGCTTCTTCTGGAGTTAAGCTTCTATTAGTCCATATTTCTAATAATAATAACTGCTGTCTTTCTTTTGCTTCTCCTAAAGAATAAATACTGAAATTTGCTTTTTGAACTGGAGTAAATCTAGCATCGATACGAAAAAAACCTTCTTCTGGCTTGACATTATCATTTATGTAATTCCCTTTGCCTTCGCTAATCAGTAATTCAATACACAATTGAGTATGTTTACTTAAGGTAGCTATGTACTGATCAGGATCTACAACACTGATACAAGATGGTAAATTAATATGTCCAGCAGTTACTACACCTGGACCTTGTGCAAATAAAGAAGCACTTTGCTTGTTTGTTACTCGACCTTTTAAAACTATTTGTTTAAGATTCATTAGAATCTCATCGATAGATTCACGCACTCCTTCTAAAGTAGAATATTCATGCACAGTTCCTACAATTTTGGCTGATGTAATACCAAGTCCTTCAACTTCTGATAACAAGGCTCGCCGCATAGCTACTCCTATAGTCATAGCTTGATCAACTAATAATGGAGATAAAGCAAAACGGCTATAATGTAAACGGCGATTTTTTCCTTGTTCATCATCTACACATTTCCATTCCGGACAAATACGTATGGTGCTACTATTTTTTTCCATATTCTCGTTTCTCTGTTTATATAATAGATATATGTTTTATACGCGACGTTGACTAGAAGGTCTACAACCATTATGTGGCATAGGGGTTACGTCTCGAACAAAACTTAATGCAATACCACTGTTACGGATAGCTCTTAAGGCTGTATCTCGTCCTGGTCCAGGACCACTAATCATAACTTCAGCTTGTCTCATACCTTGATCAATTAATAAAGAAATAGCATTTTCAGCAGCAGTCTGGGCTGCAAAAGGTGTACTCTTCTTAGCCCCTTTAAATCCACAAGATCCAGCAGAAGACCAAGACATTGTTTGTCCTCTAATATCAGTTACAGTGACAATTGTATTATTAAAGCTTGCTTGAACATGGATAACTCCTTTAGGAGCTCGTTTTTTCCCTTTACGAAGACTAATTTTTTTAGAAGGTTTTGCCATAATATTTAATTGTACTTGATAATCAATTTTTATTAATTCATGATTCATAAAAGAAGTTTAGATAATTTCTATTTGTAGATAACTATAGAAATTCTTCCTAAGAAATAATTGTTCAGAATATATACACAATGATCTGCAACTTTCAAAAACAAGATGATCGAATACTAAAGAAATTAGGATACGAGAAAATAGAAAATGGAATCATGAATATATTATCCTTGACGTTGTTTGTGTTTAGGATTTGAACAAACCACCATAACTCTACCTCGTCTACGAATCAAACGACAATTTTCACAAATCTTGCGAACTGAAGCTCGTACTTTCATATTTTTATAATCTCCACAAAATTTTCTATTTTTTTCTATTATAAGAAGAATATGAATATCAAATATATACCTTAATATGAAGTAATTCAGGATTCTCTATACTTTTTAGTATTCGAGTTATGTACTAATTTTGATTGAATCAACTTCAACTAAGATTTTTATAAATTCTAAAAAGAATAATACATAAAAAATATGATTTTTAGCAAAGTTATCCATTAGGAGATCTTGTACGAAGCCTATAGGTAATACGTCCTTTGGTCAAGTCATATGGGCTTAATTCAACTTTAACCCTATCTCCCAATAAGATGCGTATATAATTTTTACGAATCTTGCCCGAAATATGAGCCAGTACTTGGCAACCATTATCTAAGCAGACTCGAAACATAGCATTTGGAAGAGACTCTGTAACTACTCCTTCCATTTCGATTAAATTCTGCTTCCTCATGGATTTCCTCTATTTATAACTGGCTATGTTTGTATAAAACCGAGCTCATAAGATTAACTTATTATGAGTTTTCTTAAACTTCTAATAACTACTCTTATGAGTTGAAAAAACTGAGTATGTAAATGGCATAAGGATTACCAAACATAGCACAATATTTCTCCCCCGATTTGTTTTTCACGTGCCTCTCGATCAATCAAAATACCTTGAGAAGTGGATAAAATGACAATTCCCATTCCTCCTAAAACTCTCGGGATATCTTTGTGATTGGAGTAGACTCTAAGACCAGGTTTGCTAATACGTCTGACTGTAGTAATATAAGGTTTACGCCTACGGCCTTGATATCTTAATGTAATAACTAATAAACGTCTGATACCTTCTTGACGTTCTCTAAGTTCTTCTATAAATCCTTCTTGTAATAATATTTTGCCAATACTTCGAGTCGTATTAGTTGCTAATACTTCGACAGTTTTGGTTTTTCTTAAATTAGCATTACGTATACACGTAATCATATTGGCTATAGTATCGTTGCTCACGGTGACTCCTTATTTTTTTGTGCACTGTAAAGAATAGAAATATATTAGACTCTACTTATCTGTAATATAGGACAATAAAAAATAATTAATATTTATTTGAGAAAAAAATATCTATTGATTGTCACTAATTTTGTTTTCATATATGGTATAGCCACATATATAATGAAAGATTGAGTACGTTTAAGTATGAAAATGGCAGTGCTTTAGAAAAATTAGACAAGACTAATAAGAAAACACATTGACTTAAATTAAAATTATATTGATATATATAATAAAATATTTAGCA